GCAAGCATATTAAATAGGAATAATAATATTGTAAGCCTATCCGACATCTGTGACTACACCTGTTTATAGTTTCTTTGTAGGTATTGTATTCTATTCATATATACTACGTACGACATACTATTGTGTATACAATTACATTTTTTAAAATAAAATAAATATAACGATCCCATGATAGTTCAAACTTTTAATTCGATCAGTTTTATATCATACTATGACTTAGGCTGAAACGGGGTTTTCAATGTATGACTTGATTTTAAATTTTCAATAGTAACTCAAGAACAGACTGATGACATGTAAACAATTGTTGTTCCTATTAAATAACATGTAGTTATAGTAGGCATAAAGATAGGTACTTCTCATGTTACCACCTTAGCTATGATCTCTTCAAAAGTGTTATCACAAACCAACAAATATTACATAATATATATAGTACAGTCGTGGACACAGTAGTCTCTATAACTCGAATCTCGATAACTCAAAAACTTGAAGACTTGATTTTTTTACATTCCCCTTGAGCCTCGAGATTATGTAGTTTAAATTCGGGTTAGGTTCCTCGAATTATACATATTTCGAAGCGATTTTTATCCTCCTCCTACTCTGAATTGTAGCAACTCGCCTGTAATAGGTACCTACCTACCTACATACAATTACCTATACAAAATAATTAAATTCTTCAGCACTGAACGGAATTAAGGAAATATATTTATAAATAGAATCGATTTAATGGAAAAAATATACTTCAATACCTATATTATATTATTATTTATAGTTGTTGCTATAGGTAATATTGTATACCTATGGCTAAATCGTCTATGTGACTGACTTTTATTGATATGTATTTTTAATAAATTCATTAAGCTTATTTACAATTCAAAATTAAATAAAAATATTTAGGTATTAATGATTCGAAATTTTTTTTTTAGAATGCTGTAATCAATTTTAAGGCTAACAGATTTCCTTATAGTGGTAAGTACTCAATTACAATTTTAATAAATTATGATTAAATAAAAAATATTATTTGTATCTTTTTCAATAGGTATAGGTTATTAGGGTAAAGATATTTATGTATCATTTTCCTATTTTTTAAATGTTTTAATCTAAAAAACAGCTAAATGTTATTTATGGTTCATAATGTCATATCTTATTATTACTTATTAGTTATCAGTTTATCATTTATCTTCCGCAGTGTGAAACACTTCGTTTAAATAACCTTTTATGTTAGTTCTTAAAATAAAAATCAAGTAATCAATACCTAAAAGTAGGTATAATTAGAAGGTATAAATGTAATTAGTAATTATTGTTCCAAGTAAAAATATTAGTCATTAAAACTATAACTTTCTATAATGGAGTTTCCATGACACGGACTGTATCAAACTATCAAATACCAGTAACATAAAAAAGTCTAAACTCAAACTGCATAAATGCATAATACTTACATAGTTTGTTATACTTTTTTGTTATTATATTTAGGTAGGTAAATAAAGTATGTTAAAATTATTTGTATATACTATATGCTATGTTTATTGTTTAGGTACCTATATGCATAAAACCAATTGAAAATAGATTAGTCATAAAGTTTTATAGTCGTGTGAATATTTCTAATAAATAATAATGTACTCTTTAAAACTTAAAAGTCATAAGTGTATTCTACGTATATTTATAAAATAACTAAATTTATGACCAAATTTACAAATTACAAAAATAGATATTGACAGACCTATATATTGGTTTTATTGAATATAAGTATCATACTATTGGTTAGTTTTAGAATTTTAGCCCTGTTTTCTGGTCTAGATACTATTATTCTGTATATTTATAATAATTAAGTAATACAATCTATAAATTGTATAATATTATTATATTTGAGTAATCAACTCAACGTTGTAAAAGCGTTATAAGTTGTAACTATATTATATTCGACATATTTTATTTTCACAACTTAAATTTTAAACCCGTTATCCCTATATGTAACTATTTAAAAATAAATTGTACAATTGTACATTCTTTGTAATATAATATATCTACAACGCTAATAATTGTATTTATAAATGCGTTTTATGTATCTTAATTGGATTGCTATATCTATATAATCTAGGTAAGTAATTTTTATTCTGGTCGAAAATATGTATATGGTGAAACGATGTTGTTATTAATTTACATAACATACCTACTTTACATACCTACTTTTTATGGGTCTAGGTTAGATATATTATGTACAGTTTACACGCGTACCGTGTACAGGTATATAAACTATATACATTAAACGCAGAAGATGTGAAAGTAGGAAATTGTACGTTAGCAGATCGTCTACACTCTACATAATTATGCTGATAGTATCCACTGTTTTTATCCTTGCCAGAGGTCTAAAATGTTTTTACCAATAATATTATTGAAATTTGATTTTGAAAATTAACACCTATACTGTATGTCTGTTGTCTGCATTACAGAATGACAATAGATGATTATTAAAATTTGTGATTTATTGTATTTTTTTGGTATGTTTGTAATTTTGTAAGATAAAAGTTCATTACCTAGTTGTCTGTTTCTTATGCTCAAAAAGTCAAGTAGGTAGTTATAACTTAAAACTAGGGCTATATTGCTTACTACCTTATAAGATCTCAAAAGAAATCATGCAAATATGCTGAAAAACATCTAAATAATTATGTCCCTTAAAACAATAATATATGAACATTTGAAATAAGATGTATTTTGTTATATTTGTATTATTTACTCATTATTCATTCAAATTTTAGTATACATTTTTGAATTTTAATAATAGATTATTAAAAACACGTTTCACATTCGCACGTTCAAGCGAGTTGTGACATCGCAATAATAGTATCTATGTATATAAATTGGTACCACCTACGCCCTATGTCTAGAATTATAAGCATAATGTATGCCATGATGTAAACTTCAGTAGCATAAACAAGCACCTGTACGATGTCAATTTAATACTAAAAACTAATATTTTAAAAAATATTCTTTCTGAAATATTTGAAAAAAACTACTCACAAAAAATGACACATATGGTAATAAATGACATAAAAAAACAAAAAGATACATTTATTGTTAAATAATATACACAAATAAATTTCAATATAATACTATACTTCTGTGTCATACCAAATGGATTTATAATTTAACACATGTTTTCTATACATAACAGTCAATAATCTTCTCTATTCCTATTTCTTTAATAGCTCTTAAAGTCTTAACTCAAGCGTCTAGGTACCGTCTACAGTCTACACCTCAAGGATCTTGAATTTTATCTGACTACAACTCTTTCTCATGATCACCATAATAACATCACCGCCGGGAGACCCCTAAAAACTTTGAGCTTCATTAAACGCAACACTAACCTTCTCATCCCCTCCATGTCCACGTTTCCTTCATTATTCATAACTTTCATTCCACTTCATACAATTATGTTGTCGTATACCATCCTTACTCGACTCATATGTCTCCATGTACAGGTGGTACAAAACAGTTTCCTATACTCTATACTATCATTCTTAAAATTCCCCACCTCTATTCCACTATTCACTCTTTTCTAAGCACTACTACCCCTGTCTTTATTACCAAGTTGATGTCATCACTCCTTTTATTTCTTCCCTAACTCTTAAACGGCTCAATAGACGCTCCCGACCTCATTTCATCAATCTAATTCTTCATCTCAGCCTATCCCACAAGTAATTACTCGCTTTTTGAGTCTCGTCCCATTACATCTAGTGTGGTTAACCCTCACGGAAAAAACTAAATAGCTGGTTTAACAATTTATATGATTGAACCAACAATAATTTAGAGTTATATATGTGACAACATTAAATATTGTTGAATGTACTAAATGTATATGGTTAAATTATTTTAGTAGGTTTAACCACACAATTTTATACTATTTTTTAACAATACTAATTGATTGATGTAACTATTTAATAAAGTTATTGTCATTTATTTTTTGTAGTTGGATTAACCAACAATTATAGTTAATACATTGTTTCCAAGTAGTACAAATGACTAATTAAATAGTTACGTTTACAATATTTTAATAGTTGGTTTAACAATATTTCATGGTTGCATTAGCCAACATTTATAGTTGATACATGGTTTCCAAGTAGTAAAAATAACTTATTAAAATGTTACTTTTACAATGTTGTAAATAGTTGGTCTAGCTATATTTTTAAATTGATTCAACTACTTTGTATCTGTTAATTTGAAATACTTATTTTCATAATTGTGGTAACCACCTAGTAACCACCAAAACTGTAGATGATTGGTTTATCAAAAAATGTTACAGTTACTTAAAAAAAGTATAGTATAGGTACCTTGTTTTAAGCAAAAGACCTAAGAATAGTATGATATTATAGGTATCCAATTAAAAATAGTAAATAATAGGTATATTTAGTATATTATTATAATGTTTCACTTATAATAAGTATTCATTCACCAAAGTTTTTTTTATATAATATAAATGTTTAGTACATTTTTTAAATATTATAATTAAGTATATACAATAAAATAACTGTGAAACAATGTAATTCTTATAAATTAGAAAGTATACATTAAGAAATAATTAATTAAACATTATCCATAGGTATTAGGTACATTATAATACATATGGTATATTCTTTACTCTATGATGTACACATACACGATTCATAATAATAATAATAATTAAAACAGAAATATAGGATTATAATACACATCATTTTTATAATTTCAATGTAATAAATGTTAACCCATTAGATATAATATTATGATGAGTAGGGTTCATATTTTCTAAATCATTAAGTGCAATACACACAAAATTTGATGTGATGGTTGCATTATATGCTTGATAATGTTTGTCAAAATACAATGTCTTAAATTTTTTACATATTAAAAATGGTACATTTGAATCAGTCATAAAAATAGATTTAATTAGACCAAAACATGGCAACATATAATTATTTTCTTCGCATAAATTCAACACAACAGTCATATTATTATTACAACTATATTTAATACCTTTTTCATTAATCCATGAAATAAAAACAATATTATTATTATAAAAATTAAACTTTGCTGAATGAAATGAAGTATTTGATGTATATAATTCAACTGTATCTAGTGTTATTGTTTGAACTGGTCCTATATCTGCTTTGATTGTATATATACTTTGATCAGGTAATAAAAGTCTATATGCAAATTGTAGTTGTTGTTTAATTGCTAATGTTAATGTAATATTTTTTCGTGATGTAATTGAATGTGCCGTTTCTTTTAATTCTTTATGTTTAGCTTCAAAGCGCATTGACCAAAAAAGAGATAGAGGCCCAGAGTTTTTCATAATTAAAGGATAATGTACCATATGGTGGTGTTTAGGTTTCAAAGTATTTTGGAATAATTTTTTATATAATTCATGGTGTTCAGAAATAATTGATTGCAATAAAATTACATCCTGCTTATGTATCCATTTGCAAAAAATAATGTCAAGGATTTGTTTTAATAGAATATATAAATTCCAAAGTTCAGATTCTTCTGGCACCAAATCTCCTATTATCAACCCGAGGTATTTTGTAAGACATAACATTTCAGAGGCTGACATTTTGAGACACCCTTCTCGTTTCAAACTTGTATCTGTTATTAGTGTTGGCCTACTTCTAATGTCTAATGGTCCATAATTAAAGGACTCTATTCTGTTATTTAATGTATCAAGAGAAAAATACTTGAGATTATAAATCATTTCTTTTAGTATAAGACCTATGTCATATTTGCATACCCCTTCTGCCATATCATGCATTATATCCACACTATAGTTAGTAGTTACATTAAAAGATCCCACATCATTCCAGATACATAGTTCTTTAATACCAGTAACGGACACATCATTATGCATAACATCAGCTGTATAATTAACAGAGTCTCTTAAATTGTTATCATTTTGTATACATTGTTGATGGCATTCTTTTTTATGAGTTTTACAGAATCGACAATGATAATTTGCAACAAAACTCTCAACAAATCCCAGAATAGAGTGCAATCCTAGGTTATCACCCAGAATTAATCCTAATTTAAATAAAATATTATAGGTTTTGTTATTGACAACCACTTCAATCCCAGTTGACTCTAAGAAATTTAGCTCTGCAATAAGATCTTTAAATATAGCATGATTCCCGAAACAATTTTTATCATCAGTTTTGAAAAGCGCGACTAAATAAATATAATTTAGTGATGATGATAGTTCAGGTGGTAAACAAGCAAGAGAAATGTATACAGCCCCAAGTTTTTGAGTTCCAGCATGAGACCCTAGTGGGTTATTTACTTCAAAATCATCGTAATAAAGAAATTATGGTAGAATAATTTTATTTTGGTTATTTAGCTTAACTTTCCATAGGGAAGATTGAACAAAACTTTTAACTATACATGGATTATTGTTTTCCTGTACTTGTTTTAGATATCCAATTATGACATTAAAAAAATTAGAATGTTCAAATTGTTTTTTCAAAACTAATCTCAAGGATATCATAGTCATTTTAACTTCTTTTGGTTCTAAAATTACTCTACCACTAGTAAGTCTATCATTTAACCTCTGTCCAATTATAATCTGATAAGGTCTTATGAAGACACCTATATTTTCTAATAATTGTAAGCGGAAATATTCTGTTTTAACCTCATCAAACGAATTAGAAAGCACATCAAATATATTTGTAAACTCTAAGGTAGTTTTAGAAGAAATATTTAATTTGGAGAGCTCACTATCAATTTTCTGTTTTATTATAGAGAATATTGAATCATTAAAATTCTGTACATCATTAATTAATGTTTGCACTATATTTCTTGGAATTGAAACATTGCTATACCATTTACTAGTTAGGTACAAAGCGTTTTTTTGTAACTCTTGTTTCAATAACTTTGGTGTATCTTTCGAGGTTTCTAAAAGTGGAATATTAGATATAGTATTATTATCTGAATCTTGTATAATGGGTGCATCTAATGGTATAATTAATTGATTAGTACTTAAATTACAATCATCAATATTGTGACCAATAACATTAGAAATTGAAATATGAGAGTTACAGGTGTCATAATTTTGATAATTATGATTAGGAGTTAAAATGTGGGTTTTTAAATGCTTTTTAAAAGAATTTAATGTACTAAAACTGCGAAGACAATTAGTTGTTTTACAGACAAATTCCTTTATTTGATTTATATCATGATAAATACCAAGATGAATGATTAAATAATTAATACAATTAAACTTTAAATTGCATAA